GGACTCCTTCAGTCCCTGTCTCACACAACGAGGTGTACTGAGTGACAGCACTCGGTTTCCACTGACAATAAATGGGCAGCTGTCACTGACCCAGGCCTTTGTCTCTCTATGTGCTCAGAGTGCTCAGCTCACATACAGTCAGCAGCCTTTGCAGCACTCACAATGGTGAACAATCTTTAAAAATATTTATGTATCCAAATTATGATATGGATTAGCACCAAAATGTCAACAATTGTTTTATGGGTCATACCCTACCTATCCAACACATTTCATCCAAACCCATAACTTTTGAGTGATGCTGTTAACAAACAAACACACCAACAAATCCTGGGGGACGGATGTGCCTCTGTTAGCCTCATCAGATCCAGATCTCCAGCACACTGGGGTGGGGGTGGTTTGCAGTGTGAAATGGCTGGGATGAGAATCAGCACCCCCAAATATGAGTCCACAGTTCACTGCTGGAAAATGGTGGATTGCTACCTTAGCGAAGGAGTTTAAATTTCTTGGTCTTGTGTGCAAGTGAAGGTAAAATGGAGCATGAGCTTGACATTAGGGCAGCAGCAGTAATGATGCAGATGTTATACCAGTCTATTGAGGAGTAGAGAAAGGTGAGCCAGAGGGCAAAGCTTTCACTTCACCAACAGCGTTGAATGGAGCAGTGGTTTGGGCATCTGATTAGGATGTCTCCCGGGTACCATCCATTGGTGGGCAGCCGTACACATCCAGCTGGTAGAAGGCCCCGGGTCAGACCCAGACTACACTGGAGGAATGATGTATCTCATCTAGCCTGAGAATGCCTCAGTGTCCCCCAGGAGGAGCTGGAAAATGTTGCTTGGGAGTGTGACACCTGGCCCACCCTACCTGATGCCCTGCGAGCCGACTACGAATAAGCAGTTGATAATGGATGGATGGAGAAAACACTGACAACAAAACCTTTCCTTGTGTAACTGAGATCTTCATCCAGACACTTACTTTTATTTCTCTTTATATTTCAGGTGAGTAAAGCATCACAGGAGTTTTTGTTGCTGAAGATGAGGAACCCCTGGGGATGTAAAGAATATTGTGGACCCTGGAGTGACAGGTCAGTAGACGGAGAGTATAGGCAGCATGCTCATTCACAGGTTACAGAACCTCCACAGATGTTGACTCTCTTTGTGTGTGTGTGACTGCAGTTCTGAAGACTGGGATGATGTGGACAAAGCTGAGAGGGACAGGATTAAGCTGAAGACTGCAAATGATGGGGTTCAACTGAAGTAGTTCAGGAATCAGATCAGCATGTACCACAGTATAATTCGGCACCTTTCCTGAAGCTGAGAGGAACTGTTCCTCCTGAGGCTACAGTCAACACCATCACTTCCCTCCCGTTCATAGCAATGGTCTAATTATGGACAGTTTGTGCTGATGCATATAACTGTTATAGCAACAACCACACTATTTTGGAGTGAAAATAGGATCCTGGGCACCTGGCAGCACTGCCGGTGGCAGCTACAAGGGTAGGTTCATGACTTTATAATTGCACAAGCCTACCTGCATCATTCAAGCAATCATACTGTCCTTCACACTGCTGTTTCTGTCCTCAGACACATATTATCAGAATCCCCAGTTCAAGCTGGTTCTCAAGGAGCAGGACCAGACCGAGGATGAAGATAAAACCAAAAAGTGCACTGTGGTGGTGGAGCTACTGCTGAAAAACACCAGGAATAAGAATGAAGTTGACATTACCAGCAAAGACTTTGACATCTACAAGGTGAGAGACACTTTTTTTACTGAATCTTTGGGGTATCTGCACCTTTACTTTTTGTTCTGAACTAACTTTTGTGTGTCTTTGTGCTTCTTTTTTCCAGGTTCCTCCTGATGTGAGTATCTATTGTAATATCGCCACAGTTAGGTTGATTAGTGACTCTAAGTTGCCTGAGTCTAAATCTGTCAGTCCTGTGACAGACTGACAGCCTGTCCAGGACGATCACGCCAACTGTTAGCTGGGCTCACTTGAGTGTGTGATTGGGAATAAGAACAAGGTGAAAACTGGGACTATATTTCTAGAAATTAGTTCTTTGCAGACATGTTTTTCATTCACTGAAGCAGTTCATAACAAACATGAGTGCACAGCTATGAAAGGTTTTTATTGTCACCTGATGAGGTACAACTAGTACATAATAAAGAAATAATATAGCATATAAATAAAGGTGGATCAAACAGAAATTTTAAAAGTTTTTTTTAAATTGCAACACAAAATAACACATTTATAAGACAAAGCACATAACATAGTTCATGAGATAACAGACATTAACATAAGAGGCAAAGGGATTATTAACTGAGGGTATTAAGTTGTGTGTGTGAAAGTGTGTTTCACACACGTGAAAGTTGGATACACACACACACGTGTATTCAACTTTATGCAGACTGATATTCATTACTTAATGGAAAATAAAATTAAACCAAATAAATTAGGAAAATGGAAGGGGTATAAATGTAATGTAATGAAAAGACAGTTTGATAAAAAATGAATGATTGTAGTAATAAAATAATAAAGAAGAAAAAAAGGCAATAAAGAAATATCAATCACATACTATATACTTTTCCATTCACATACTTATATACACTCAGATATATATGTAAACACATTCATAAAACAAAAATAAATGAAATTAACAGATCAGTAAATGATTAGAAAGAGAGGGAAGATAAAAAGAAAAAAAGGGGGGATAGGTAATATTCTCAGTTAATTTGTTTTGATTGATAGGTGTGACACTCAAAACAGTAGCATGGGCAATGAGGACTAATACCGGTAACAGTAACAATAATGAAGTAAAAAGCAGCTTGTTATATTTCTAGGAGTTTGTGGGAATGTGCGTGGCCTCGACCTAGTTTAAGTTAAAAGAGGTTAGAAATGGATTCCAAGTGTCAGTGAAGGTTGGTATATTATTCTTATGGGTGGCTGATATTTTCTCTAGTGTGATATAGTCAATAAGAAGGTTGGTCCAGTGGTTAATGTGTATGAATTTTTAGATTTCCAGTTCAGAAAGATTGTTTTCTTGGCGATAGTTATAGAGATAAGAAGTGGGTTTATATATTGAATTAGTAGGCGGTTGACTTCTGTGACATTACCGGGCAGGCAGAGTGACGGGGATGGGGGGATTCTACAGCTCAAGATGGTGGAGAGTTTCTCAGTCACCACTACCCAGAGGGAGTAAACTGGTTGACAGGTCCAAGTAGCATGAAAGTAATCATGGCACAATCCAGAGTGAACTGTGAGCAGGTATCTGTATTAATGAAACCCGTTTTAAACATTTTACCTTGTGTGATGTGAGTCCTGTGAATAGTCTTGTATTGTATAAGGTGTAAGTTTATATTGGTTGTCATGGAAAAGATATTATTACAGATCTTGGTCCAGAAGTCGGGGCTGGGGGGGAGAGATAAATCAGTTTCCCATTTAGTCATTGGTAATGTTATTGTTCTATCTGTATTTGACATTAGTTCTTAAAATTTATATATTATCTTCTTTGAGTTTGTAAGTTTCATTATCTCCTCAGCTAGTATGGAAGGTTGCAGGGGGTTGGTGACTATATTGATCTTTGATTTAATTATGGATTTTAACTGTTGGTACTGGAGAAATTCTCCTCTCCCAACTCCATACTTCTGGACTAATGCATTAATTGGTATAAACTGGTTGTTTTCAAACAGATGATGAAGATGAGTGTTTCCTTTGTGTTGCCATATTGGAAAGTAGATGGGATTATTATGAAGCTGAAAGTCAGGGTTATGCCAAATTGGAGTGTATCTACACAGTGTTAATGATGATTTAGTGGTTTTGTTTGCTTTCCAGGCTGTCACAGTTGCAGAGATTGTGATATTTTTGAAATAGTTCATTTTCATAATTGTTATGGTAGGAAGGCAAGGTCTGAAACTGCAGTATTTTTTCATTGATTTTGTTGTAGTTCTACCCATGAGGTATTACAACTATCCTTCTGACTCCATTGAACTAAATATTGTAATTGATTTACAAAGAAATAATACTCAAAATTTGATGCTTCTAGGCCACCTTGTGATTTGTTCTTCTGGAGTGTTGACAGGGAAATTTTGGGTTTCTTATTATTCCAGTAAAATTGTGAAGTTAGAGAATCGAGTGATTTGAACCAATTATGTGTTGGTGTGGTGGGAAGCATTGAAAAAAGGTAGTTAATTTGTGGTAAAGTTTTCATTTTGACTGTAGCAATTCGGCCAATGAGTGACAGCGGGAAGTTGGACCAGCGTTTGAACTCATCTTCTATCTTTTTAGCACAGGGGTGTAGTTAAGGTTGAAAAGTTCTGACAGCAGAGGGGTGTATTAATATTGGAGAACGTTTCTCATAGTGAACTGTAGGGATCCCGTAGATATAATAGTAAATCATCTGCATAGAGGCTAATTTTATGTTGTGAGTTGTTATCTTGTATTCCTTTGATGCTATTATTCTGTTGTATTGCTGCTGCTGCTAGAGGTTCAATGAAGATGGTGAATAGAGATGGTGAGGGTGGGTATCCTTGTCTAGTTCCTGGTGAAGTGTGCTGAAGAGAAAAGACCAGTTAACTTTGTGGATTGCTTTTGCATCTAATGATACAATTATGGTGTCAGTTTGTTTTTGTTGTGCAATGTTGATTAAGTTAAATACTTCACAGGTGTTATTCGAAGTGTGTCTACTTTTAATGAAGACTGTTTGGTCTGGGTGGATTATTACTGGGGTAACTGTTTCCTAATACTGTTTCTCATGTGTACCCAGTATTTACAAAAACACATAATATTTGGTTTTGTTCTTCCGTTTTTTATAAAATGACTGGTTGTTACTCCCTTGCTCCCCATAGTCATGCTTTTTCCACTGTACTAACATTTAAGTACCAGATGGAACCAGAAAGTATTTTACTGGTACCTGATTCATACAAATGATTACAATAAATACACTGAACTATAAACTAGGGGCCATATTAGTGTTACTAAACCTTCCATTCCTTTGTAAAATCTTCCTCCATACAGTTCCAGGGTGTGCGTCTGGACCCTGACTTCTTCAAGCAGAATAAACCCATAGAACATCCTTACATATATAGGAGTATAAGGTACAAACCCTCATCGTATGAGAAAACTACTGCTTGCAGTTTTTTACTCTAATGTAGTTGAAAATGCAAAAAAGTACATTGCACACAATTCTGGTGGCTGCAGCTATTAATCACATTCATTGTATGATGCATACAGTGTATAAAATGTGTACATACAATTTTTGGTTGACCTTTGAACATTGTATAGCTGTTGGAAGTTAGTGAATATAACTTACTGACTTTGTCCCACAGGAATGTGGTGTGCAAGCTGCGCCTGGACCCGGGTAACTACATCATTGTGGCTTTCAATAAGGACCCCAAACAGTCTAGAAAGTTCTTGGTCCGCACTTTCTCCAAGACTGGAAACACTCTGGGGTAAGATGACAGAAATGTAGTTTTGACAGCCTAAAAGGCCTGAGAGATTTGATAGACAGTACAGGCGCTTAAAGTGTCATGTAGGTGACGAGTACTGTAAGATCAATACTAACCACACAGCTTGGGTGATAAAAAACAAATATTTTGGACATAAGAGCAGTGGTGGAA